TAGGTCCTTTCTTTCCCTAGCTATTCTTTTTTATTAAGTATTTTATATAATTCCATTTTCTCTTCAGTATTAGCCTTTTATTTAAACCTCTCTTGGAAAATATTTTTACTATGTTTCCTATAATTCAAAACATTCATCCTAAATTTATTATAGTTTGCCTTAAAATAATATTACACTGCTTAATGTATAAATTACAAACTATACTTTCAAATCCTGTCTTCTAGTTTTAATGCTATTGTTGTTGCATGTTTTATTTTTACATACACTATAAACTCATAGTATAATGTAAAAACATCTGTTTTAGACAATATACTTTTAGAGTAGTTCAAAAATAGCAAAGTATGTATTTACATTCATTGTAGTCATTTTCAGAGCCCTTCGTTACTTTAGGTAGATCCAAATTTCAGTTCTTCGTGATAGTCCTTCTGCCTGAAGAATTTCCTTTGGACTTTCTTTTCACGTGGGTCTGCTACTAACAAATTCTCTTAGCTTTTATTTTTCTTAAAAATATTTCCTTTTAATGTTTTGATGACATTTCACTGGTTATAGAATTCTGAATTTATAGTTTCCCTTTTTGTCTTTCAGTACTTTAAAGGTACTCCATTTTCAGTATTTTAAAGTACTCCATTTTCTTCTAGCTTGCATAGTTTTTAGATAAGAATTATGCTGTAATGCTTGTCTTTAACTTCCTTTATATAGCATTTTTTATTCTGGCTCCCTTTAAGATTTCCTCTTAATCTTTGGTTTTGAAAAACTTGAAGGTGCTGTATCTCAGTATTTGTCTTAAAAAAGAAAAATTCTACATGAAGTTCCCTGAGTTTCTGGAATCTATGGTTTGATGTATTTAGTTATTTTTGAAAACTTATTGGTCATTGTCTCTTCAAATATTTGTTCTGCCACAATTATATTCTTATTCTCATTAAAGAAAGAGAGAGAGATGTCACCCCACACACATACTTTCTCTGAGATTCTAGTAATGTATTCGACTCTTTTACATTGCCCCACAGCTTGGATGCCCAGTTCTGGGTTTGGCTCCTTGCCAACTTTTTTAGTCTCTTTGTATTTTACTTTGACTAAATTCTACTAAGTTTTAGTCAAGTTTGTTGATTCTTTCTTTGGCTGTGTCAAGTCTACTGATAAGCCCATCAAAGACGTTCTTCATCTTTTTTACCATGGTTTTTATTTCTTATATTTTATTTGAATCTTTTAATAGTATTATTGATTGCATCTATTAAAGTCAAATGTCAGTCAAAGTACCATGGATTTTTATTACACTGCTTTTAAGATTTTCTTCCTTATTTTTGTTTTTGCAATTTTGCTCTTATATACCTAGCTGCAAAAAATATGTATATTTTTGACTTTGGTTTTAATTCCTAGGCTATCTTGATGTTTTCCACCAGGTTTGGAGTATTCACAGTCATTAGCTCTTCAAATATTGGCCATTGTTTCTTACATATTCTGTCCTTTGTTCTCCTTCTGGGCTCAAATTACATGATTCTTTTACCTTCTCACACCATCATTTATGCTTCTTACCCTCTTTCTGTATATTCCATATTATTGGTTTATGCTTTATTGTCAACATTTTCTTCTGACCTATATTCCAATTCATTAAATTTGCTTCAATTGTATTAGCTCTGCTTATTTAATCGACTCATTAATTTGTGTACTATAATATCAACTTTTAACATTTCTGTTTGTTTCTTTTTTTTCTAATCTGCTATTTTTTTTTTTAAAGAACTTCCAGTTCTTTGTTAAAGTTCCCAGTGTTGTCTCTTATCCCCCTGGTTATACAAACAATTATTTTAAAATCTGTTTAGCCGGGCTCGGTGGCTCAGCCTGTAATCCCGCACCTTGGGAGGCTGAGGTGAGTGGACTGCCTGAGCCCGTGGGTTCAAGACCCGCCTGGGCAAGTTGGTGAGACCTCATCTCTACAATAAATCAAAAATTAGCCGGGTGTGGTAGCGTGCACCTGTAGTTTCAGCTACTTGGAAGGCTGAGGAGGAAGGATCGCCGGAGCCCAGCAGGTCGAGGCTGCAGTGGCTTGGAGTGGCCACTGCACTCCAGTCTGGGTGACAGAGTGAGACTCCAACTCAAAAAAAAAATCTATTTAAAGTGTGATAAAAGTCTGAAAACTTGAGTATTGAAAGGTCTCATGGCTGTTTCTATTTCCTATTTTTCTACAGGTTCTTGTTTTCTTATTTCCTTATGTGTCTAGTTTTTTTATATTGTAGGCTAGATATTGTACTTTTAAAAATTATTATAAGAGGAACTTGCTTGGGATAATTTTATATATTTATATGCTCCCCTGAAGAAAATATATATTTACATTTGGAAAGCTTTTAGGATCGCCACTAATGACCCAGGATTATTTTAATCCAAACTGAAGCTGTAGTTTTTGCTAAGGCTATCTTACTTCCCGTTCTCTCTTAGTTCCCAAATCAAAGCACAACCTACTTATCTTAGTTGGTCTGAATTCTGACCCTTTCTCTCCAACCCAGTAATATGTTGCTCTACCTCCTACTCTCTCAGCTGCCTCTTTCTGAATTAGAAAATGTGTCCAGTGGACCAGTGGACCTAAAATATTGGGGTGCTTTCTCTGAATTTTTACCTTCTCTCAGATCTTAGTCCAGTAATTCTTTATAACTTATTGGTTCTCTGGAGCCTTTCAGCAATTTTTAAAAAATTTGACTTTTTTTGTTGTTCAGTTCTTCTTATTGTCCTCAGGGAAATGACCTGTCCACATTCTTTAACCTATCATTACCTTTCTGCAAGAATGTATGATTTTTTAAAAAAATCTCTTCCTTTTTGAGTGTCTAAACTCTAATTTCTTTAAAGTTTCATGGTTTCTTGTTTTATTTTTATTTGTTTATTTTATTTTTTTGAGTCAGTGTCTCACTGTGTCACCCAGGTTGGAGTGGCCATGGCCACCACAGCCTCAACCTGCTGGACTCAGGTAATCCTTCTGTCTGTCTTCCAAGTAGTTGGAACTACAAGCATGCACCACCACACCCAGCTAATTTTTAAAAATTTATTTATTCTAGAGACGAGGTCTCGCCATGTTGCCTAAGCTGGTCTCAAACCCAGGGCTCAGGCAATCTTCTCGCCTCCACCTCCCAAAGTGCTAGGATTGTAGGTGGGAGCCCCCACGTTGGGCTGGTTTCTTGTTGCCAAGTGCTATCCACAAAAAGCCTCCATTCACTCAAACAGCTTTTTCTGTTAGTCTTTCTCTTTCTGGATGGTCACACAATTGAATTTGCTTAAATCAAGTGAACATATAATACAAGTTTTTCTGCATATGTTATAATCTCCCCATTATAAGAATTTTTCATTTTTTCCCTATAGTCACCAAGCTACACATAGATCTCCTAAATTTAATCCTCCAAACAAAATTTTGTAATTTTTTAAACATCTCTCCAATTCTCCCCTCCATATAAGAACTTTTTAAATTCTGCATTATATGGCTGAAATAGTCTTCTCTGCCTTGACACCATCAAATCTCAGCTTAATAGTCTTGTCTCAGGAAAGCCTTTCCAAACTTTCCTGATTTCATTGTAGCAACTATGTATCTTACTCCAGAAATTTGAGTGTGCAAGTTAAGTTTTTCATTTTCTTGAAGTCTGATTAATTCGACTTTGAGATCCTGTCCATCTATAGTACTGGAAAATTCATACTGCATTCACTTGTTGGATGAGACTCAGGAATGTCCTTCTTTGTTGCCTGAGTTGGTTCAAGAATTCTGATACTTCTGTCCAGAATAGGGAGATATGGTGTACCACCAAGAGGGAAGACTTTAGTCCATTGTGGTCACCTTGAGAACTTCATTGTTGAGGCACACATGCACACTCAAAGTCAAGTGGTTCCAAGCCCTTCATGCCAAGTTTGTGCATGGAAATCACTGACAAGACTGCATTTCTGACCCTTCATTTGCAACTTCCTTAGAGCACTCCACAGGTGTTGCTACCTACCAAAATAGCTACTAAAGATCTAGTTCTGGCTTCCTGTTACTTGAATATACTGATCTCTATCCCCTTTCTGGTCTGGAGGAGTCTCTTCCCTCAGTGACATTCTTCCCATACTCCTTCCCTCAGCAAAAAATTTCTCAATAAATTCAGACTTTTCGAGAAAAAATAAAAGAAGAAAAAACTTGCCTTCGAGGCATTCTGGATTCAGTCTTGCACACAAACCTCCTCTTAGGCAAGAGAGAGCAAGCATCTGGTTACCTTCTGGAAGAGGGGCAAAGGGAAAAAGAAGGCAGCAAAAACAATTCACAAAATATGTCAATAAATTATCCAGCCAAAAGTTTAAAAGTTTACAGCACATATTCTTGTCCTTTGTAGGCTCTATCACAGTTTCCAGTTTAAATTTAACTGTACGATTGTTTTACTAATATGAATCTCCTTACCTTCATAATGTAATCTCCTTGATAGCAGATATCATGATTAGTTTTGATGACTAGTGAAGGGCCACCACCAGGGCCACCGCCAGGCGCTAGCAAACCACATCCCCTCCCTTTTCCTGGAAAGGGGCCCAAACCCAGCCCCCGCCTAAAATGGAGACCCGGCAAACAAAGGGGGCGTCTGAAACGGCACCTGCCGGGTTCTTCTTCCACAGTCCGGCTCACCTTTTCCCGCGCCCACGACAAACCCACCAACCTGGATGGAGCTCCGCCAGCCGACCAATAATCGACTGACAGGTCGCCCTAAACCCCCATAAAGGCTGGCGTGCCCTTGCTTCAGCGCTACAGCCTGACCCTCTGGTCCTGTAGCCCACCACGTTCGACCCATTGAATCTCTTGGCCTTAACGGGTGTTGAGTCTCACTGTGCGCCACCGTCTTTCAGCTAGTATGGTCTTAAAAGCTAACATCACAGCTGGCAATAATAAGCATTCAATAAGTCTTTGTTGAATTAATGGGTCAATGAATAAATAATTGAGTAAAGAGTGTTCTACAAGCTCTGTCAGTAGAAAAAGACCTAAAATTAAATATTTTGCTCCCTTGCAGCTGTCTCCTATATATAATCTGGTTCCAGTGAAAATAAAGGATGCACACCTAAAGAGACAAAATTTGGAAAGAGCCATTGGCGACTATATCGATGAATACAGTGTAAGAAAATGCTACCCATGCCAAAATGGAGGCACTGTGATTCTGCTGAATGGACAATGTTTGTGTTCCTGCCCAGTTGCATTTGAGGGAATTGCCTGTGAAATCACCAAACAAAAAATTCCTGAAGGTAAAAATGATTTGTTTGATGTTATCAAGAGCAAAAATAGACGGTTTTGCGTTATTTACTTTGAAAACAGTTCTTGGATTAATTTGTACTAAAATTCTAAATTATTCATATAAACAGAGGATAAAAATGGAGTAGATAATGAAAACAGATAAATCAGCCTTGATGTGTTAAGTAAGATTAACTTTCTATGGCAATCATAGCTCACATTGCTTTATTGAATAAATAATTTCCTACAACAATTTTCTAAAACTATAAAGTTTCCTAGAACAAAAAATCATAACCTTAAATTTATCATTCAACCATACTTTTAAGTCTTACATTAGAATTTTTAATGTTAGAATTTTTTTACACTTCTTAGTAAATGGCTTAGAAACTCAATGGTGTGGTGACAAATATATAAATTAAGATTTAATTTAAGTTTTATGATTATTGATTTATAAGTGTATGCTAACCCTCTTATCTATCTAAAGTATCAATGTAGTGCTTTGCATCCCATAAAGCATTTGTACTCTCTCAAAATCCATGCTACTTGGTACTTGGGACTTCTAATTTTTACCTATTTCTCTCTATGTGGAATATTCTGCTGCTTTCTCTGTGATTTCTTCAGATCAGTCTTCTAATTTTACAGTTCCTTTATTCATTTACTGACCTATTGAGTATTTTTAAAAATTATTTTTCTAAAAGTTCTATTTGGTTATTTTTCAAGTCTGATTGTTCTTTTTCTTTCCTAGCCAACTGGATTATTTTCCTACCTTATCTCTTTGAATATGTTAAACATATTTATATGGGAGTCTCTTTCAGATTGCTCCAGTATACGGAGCCTGACTGTTTAACAAACTCAGTGCTATGTACTTTATAGCTGAATATCACTATGGTCACCTTTGAAGTACTCCCCTTGGGAAGCTATGCACTGATGCCAGCACCTAGTTCACCCATCAAAGCAATTTTGAAACTTTTTTACTGGATGACCATCAGAGCTGTTGTTGTAAGAATGTCGGAGTTTGAATTAGAGAAATGAACAAATATTAAATTTCCTGTTAAACTTTGCAAGAGTGGAGGTGATATCAGAGACATGTTAGTCCAAGTTTATGGGGATAATGCCAGGAAGAAAATGACAGTGTACAATTGAGTTAAACATTTTTCTGAGGGGAGAGAAAGTGTCACTGATGAAGACAGATCAAGATGGACAGTAACCAGCAGAACTGACAAAAATATTGCAAAAATTTGTCAAAGTGTATGTCAAAATTGTTGGCTGACTATGAGAAGCATAGCATACCAAATAAACATCAATCAAGAAGCAGTTAGGAAAATTTTAACTGAAAATCTTGGCATAAGAAAAGTGTGTGCAAAAATGGTCCTGAAGGAGCTCTTGCATCACAACAATGCACCAGCTCACACAGCACTGTCTGTGAGGTAGTTTTTAGCCAGTAAACAAATAACTGTGTTGAAACACCCTCCCTACTCACTTGGTCTGGCCCCCAATGACATTTTTCTTTACCCTAAGGTAAAGAAAATATTGAAAGGAAGACATCGTGATGACATTCAGGACATCAGGGGTAATATGACGACAGCTCTGATGGCCATTTCAGAAAAAAAGATTCAAAATTGCTTTGATACATAGACTAGGAACTGGCATCAGTGCATAGTTTCCAAAGGGGAGTACTTCGAAGGTGACAGTAGTGATATTCAGCAATGAGGTATGTAGCACTTTTTTAAGGATGAGTTTGTGAACTTAACTGCCAGTCCTTGTATATAATTTCTTCAGTGCAATTCTCTATTAAGCTACCAGCTTACTCTCATGGCCTATTATTCTTCCTTTACTACTTAGTGATTTTTTAAATTATAGGCTTAGTCTTCAATGGGAATTGTTTCCTGTGGGAATCTTGTCTACCTTGGATAGTGAAAGTATTCTTAGGGTTAGTTTGCTTCTTAAGAGATCCTATTGTTTTTAACAGTCTTGCATCAATTTTTTATGTAAATTTCTTCATTCAAGTTCCACATTTGGTGTTTCACAGATAATTAAAAAATCAAGTTTCCTCTCTCATTATATAAAATTTTTAAGGTCATTAGATAGCTTTTGATTGACTTTTCATACCTGACCCAGGATGGTCCACCAGTTTACTAGACCATGGTAAAAATATGTCTTGCTGACTCTTTCCCTCAAGGAAGTTTTTCCAAGCATCCATTATTTTGGTAGAATGTTCCAGTTTCCCACTTACACTGAGCCTGCCCCTATGATGAGGTTTAAAACCCTAACACATCATCTTTCTTTTTTCTTGCCATTTACTTAGCCTGAAATACATCCAACTTTCTTCTTCCTTGACTAACCAAACTTCCTTCTCTTTAACTGGCTTTGTGTGTTTCTACTCCTGTTAGACCAGTGGTTTTCAGCCTGGTTGATTATTGAATTTATTTGGTTAGCTTCTTTTAAAAACAGAAAAAAAAGGTAAAAACAAAAACAAAACAAAACAGAGGTCCATCCCGAATCAATTAAACCAGAACATCTATGGTAGATTCTGCCTGGGTATGGGTTTTTGTTTTGTTTTGTTTTTTAAGCTACTGGCTAAAAATCCATATTTTGAACCCATGCCAAATAGCATTTATCTGATGAAATCTTCTCCAATTTCTCCAGGAATCAATTCTCTATCTATGCTCTCTGAGCACTTTTCCCATTGCTTTTCCAACACTAAGCACATTGACTCTCCCTACACAAGATGAACAGTCCCTCTAGTAAAAAAAATATGCCTTGTATCTTAAACCTCAGTCCATTCCCAGCACCTTTGTATCTTAAACCTCAGTCCATTCCTAGCACCTAGATAGCATGCTACATACTAGTGCAATAGAATAGGGGGATAAATACACAGATGGGTGGGTGGATCCAAAGTGATATCCTATTGATCATTAATATTTGATACTCTTTTTGGTTTTTTCTAGGATCACCAGCCAACCCATTCACCCATAGAGAATAGAGCTGTTGGCTTCCCTGAGCTCATATGGAAGAAAATAAATAAATAACCAGACCTTCCCATTTAAGATCCTGCCCCTGGAGATAATCTTTGCTGCAAAGTAAAAGCAACATGCCTCTTGAAAATCCTACCAATCTCTAACGTCTCCTCTCTCTTAGGTCTGCAATTTTTTTCTTCCTTAAACTCTTATGTTTCCATTTTTTATTTCCTAATGAGGAGTCAGTAGTAAAATATTCCAGGACTGCTTTCTGCCACAGGCAATGCCAATCTCCTGCTAATAAAACAAAAGTAAATTAAAAACAGAATGCTGGTCTAAAAGACTTTAAAGTAATTGCCAAACCGCTTTGTATGATTAATATATTCTGCCAGTTTCATTGCCACAAATCTGTACTATGCAATTTAGCTCTTATTTACATAGTTGTGTCTTGTTTCGTTATTTGCTTATATGTACATACATTCATTCAGCAGATATTTACTTAGCCTCTACTACATGCCCTGTGTTCTGCTCTTATTAGTATCAACTCTCCAGTTTAACTCTACATATTCAAGGGAAAAAGTGTGTTGTATTTATAACCAAAACTATTTGTTTACTGAAAAGAGAAAATTGAGTTCATGGAAGTAGAGTAGAATGATGGTTACCAGAGGTTGGGTAGGGTAGTGGGGGTGGGCAGATAAAGAGGGAATGACTAATGCGTACAAAAATACAGTCATATGGAAGAAATATGATATGGTGTTCTGGTAACACAATAGGGCGACTACAAGATATTGGTTTAAATCATAAAATTGCCTCTATTCAATCCTATTTTACAAAAACAAAAAACAAAAAAAACACCCAAAAGTAACTTAGGGTCTAAGACTAATTTTGAGAAGAAAGAAAGACAGAAAGACAGAAGGAAGGAAGGAAGGATAGAAAGGGCGAGAGGGAGAGAAAAGAGAGATAGAGAAGAAAGAAGCAAAAAAAAAAAAAAATCCAAAAAAAGTACAAAATCAAAATATTTATGTTTAATTAAATATTAACAATGCATATGTCAACCTTATTGTTATTAGTAGCAAACATTTCACACATTTATAAATAAATTTTTAGATTTTCTCACTTGGCAGAAATTCTCAAGAATGCATGTGATTGCTGAGAGATATAGTAAATAAATTACTTAAGGCAAATTATTATTTTTCTTTTTTTTGAGTTGGAGTCTCACTCTATCACCTAGGTTGGAGTGCAATGACACACTCATAGTCACCGCAGTCTTGACCTACTGGGCTCAGGCAATCCTTCCACTCAGCCTTTCAAGTAGTTAGAACTACAGGCACTCACCACCACTCCCAGCTAATTTATTTATTTATTGTAGAGATGAGATCTTGCCAAGTTGCTCAGGCTAGTCTCAAACCTCTGGGTTCAGGCAATCCTCTTTCCTCTGCTTCCAAAAGTGCTGGGATTACGGTCTTGAGTCACCATGCCCGGCCAGGCAAATCATTTTAAAAGCAAAATTTAAAAAGCAATTTTAATTTTAACAGCAAATAAAAGGTTACTAGATATATAGGATATATTTTAATATATTACATATGATTTGGTAGTGAAGCTCTAAAAAGAAACATGCCCGGTCCCTTCAGGATCTTAAATTTGCTCTGGGAGCTCAAAAGAAATTTTGTCCCCTCCTGCAAAACACTGGTTGAATCAGAAAGCAGTAGGATTTGTCAAATGCATATCAATGCTGAACTCTGTTCTTGAGCAATCCACTATTGAGGGAGTTTTTAACAGAGAGCATCTAGCTCAAGTGAGAGTTAATAGAGTGACTCCTAAGAACACTCCACCCATAGGAACAACAAATGTCAAACAAGAAAAGAACTGAGCCTTGACCAGACCCCCATGGTCAGCGTAATGGTGTATCAGAGTTCTTTCTATGGTAATGAATGGTGGGGACAGTTCAGGTTCATTGATGGCAAGATCTCCAGCTTCTATCCAAAGTTGGTATATCTGATAGAGCATTTCCAGCAGGGAGCACCATTGAGACACCAGAAACTGCCCTACAGTAATCAACACAGACCAGAAGTCTCTAGGCCTAAACTGAGTGAGAATCACTAGAAACTGAGAGAGATGAGGGCCTCCTGCCTACTAGGCATTACATGGGGCAACCAGAGTTGTTTAGAAAAGCAGATGTAGCTTAGTCTGGGCAGATGGAGTACAATGATAACTGCCCCCCACCCTGTATTCTCTCTAAGAGGGTACACCACCAATTCAAGGAAAGAGACAGGTGGGGACAAAAGCCCTTTTTGAAGCCCAGGATGTATTTTTTGAGCCATTACATTGAACTATTGTCCAAAAAAGTCATTTTCCAAAGGACTTAGAGGATTTGGATGGGTAGTCATTAGGGTCGAGTGTGTAAAAGAAGCTTCAAAGTCTTCAAAGTCTCGCTATGTTTTTACTGATTTCCCTTTGTAAACACAAAACTCAAGTTGCTTATTTGTTCTACTGATCACAGAGTAGATGGTCAACATATACTTCTCAACTAATGAATGTTCGAGGTGTGGGTTAGCATTCTTACCCTGGCTTTGTGCCATTGTTTTCCCACCAAGGCCCTTTGGTTGCATAGTGAAACCCAACAACAGCAGCTCCTAAATTAGCCTCCCAATAATTATTTATGCAAAACAATCCAAAATAGTGCATCAAAAACTAGGCTCAGTTAAGTTCATTCTTTTTTTTTAGGTAAAACGATTTTCACACACATAGACACACAATTCACAGGACAAACATCTATCTCTCCACTGACTTCTCCCCTACTTCAAGCTCATTACCTACTATCATGCTAAGAGGAGAAAAATGACACAAGAAAAGGAAATGCCAGGACTATTTAACAATGGACAAGTTACTAAACACTTAAGTCCTGAAATATGTTCAAGGATAATAACATCTTTTTCACTGAATTATGTTGATTTATTGAGATCATTTATATAATTTCTTGTAATCAAATAGAAGAGTCATGAATAGCAGCCGTTACTATTGTTATCATGCAAGGCTATTGGTCTAACTCCTTCTAAGTGTAACTCTAACATTTGTGATATTAGACACATTCGATTATTTTCCAACCTTTCTGGCCCAATCTTCCTATAGGGAATGAAAAAAGAAAAGAAGAAGGGAAGGAAGAAAGGGAGGGATAAAGGGAGAGACAGACATGGAGAGAGGGCTGGAGGGAGAGAGGGAGGGAAGGAAGGAAGGAAGGAAGGAAGGAAGGAAGGAAGGAAGGAAGGAAGGAAGGAAGGAAGGAAGAGAAAGAAAGGGAAAAATAAAAGGAAAGACAGAAAGATCCATTTTTCATTTGCAACCTCTTTTTTCCAACATTCATCAAAGGGCAAATTATCTTTAACAAAATGTCAAGAGCAATAACCAACCCCATGAGCGTGTGTGTCAGTTAAATCTTGTCTTGGAGACCCAGTGAGACAATAGTATCATGACTGGGATTCTGCTTCTGAGAAGGCTGTGCAAGAATGGAATAGGCGAGAAGCCATGAGAAGAAAACAGCAGGACTCAACAGACCCATCGAACCTTGTGAGCTCCCGAAGACCCAAAGAGAGGATGCAATACAAGTAACGGCAAAAATAACAAAAGAAAACAAGCAAAGTAATATATAACCTAGAATTTGCCCATAAGCTTTGTTTTTTGTCTCTTTGCTCTCCAAGTTAATTCGTTTGATAATAGTCTCCTGAAGTAAAATCTAGATGTATTTTTCCACTGTCCTCTGTCAGTAGTTTTTTTAGAGTTTAGTAAACAATTGCTTGGGATTAGATTTAAATTGAAAAGACAATTGTTCCCTGCCCTTCCTGAGTTTGAATATGATTGACTCATTCTATTGAAATGTTGTGAGAACCCTCGTTCTATCCAAAGGTGAGTTAATTTTTCACTAAAGTTGATCAATAAGTTATCTCTTCCAGGATACTGATCTTCTAAGACTCCCTTTTATCAAAAGGAGAAATTACAAGAATGAAGGAATTAACTCTACTTTTAAAACAAAAAGTGAAAGAGAAATAACCCAAATCAAGGAAGTGCCCATTTCCTCCTGCCCAACCTTCTTAAGCATGCCTCTTCTTATTCTGCTTTCTTCCTGCTACCTTCCCATTTTGCTACTTCATATCTAGGCAAGCAGAGAGACTGGAATTTCCTTGCGTTTCTATCAATCTACTTTGTGAGTTTGAGTTGTTCTTTGCTGATACAGTTCAATTGCATATTGATTAAAAAAAAAAAAGAGTTAAGTTTTCACAATAACAAGATTTGAACTGATCTGGATTCTAGTCCGAAAACTTGCGGTGGTCACTTTACCTTTTGGTGCTTTAATTTTATCCTCCGGAGTTAGAGGACAACGCCAAAGGTGAAATGACTCAGGAACGAAAAACCAAACACCTCATGTTCTCACTTAAAACTGGCCAGGTTGTGTAAACCCAGAGCTTTGGGAGGCCGAGGTGAGTGGATTGCCTAAACCTGCAGGTTTGAGACCCACCCGGGCAACTTGGTGAGACCTCATCTCTACAATTAAAAAAAAAAAAAAAATTAGCCGGGTGTGGTAGCGCATGCCTGTAGTTCCAGCTAATCTGAAGGCTGAGGTGGAAGGATCACTGGAGCCCATCAGGTCAAGGCTGGGGTGGCTGTGAGCGTGCCGCTGCATTCCAGCCTGGGAGACAGAGTGAGACTCCAACTCAAAAAAAAAAAAAAGTGAGAACTAAACTAAGGATCTACAAAGGCAGGTAGAATGGCATAATGGATATTGGAGACTCAGAAGGGGGAGGGTTGGAAGGGAAGGAGGGATGAAAAATCACCTGGGTATTATGTGCATAGGTGAAGGTGTTGGGTACACACACACACAAATTTCATCCTGGAATAACAGCAGCATAGTGACCATCTCAGTGTTTAGTAATATTTTAGCCAAGGGTTTTCATACAGCTTCCCATAACGATAGGCTTCAAGGGAGATGGTACATATGCAGAATCAGTGCACAAACCACACATTGCCGTCATCACATTCTGAAAGGAACCCAAGTGACAAAAATGTTTTAAAAATAAAATTAAAAAATTAAAAATAACTAAGAGTTGATCTAGGATCATAGGGTGAGAAAAGGACGTATGAAAATTAATTTCCACTGGAGACTTTCCCAATCTATTTGGGGAGCCAAAGTTAATGCACACAATACAATTAAACACTATAAAAGGCAAGCATATTAAAAGAACTCAGTTTTGTAGTAATCTGCAGCATCCAGAAAAGGGGAGATTGGTGAGCTAGCAGCAGTGAAGTCTTCCTGGAAGAGATGAGACTCAACATCTCTCTGTTCTCTCATCTCTGAGGTCTTGTTCAGGCCAACTAGTGTTGGGCACTTAGAAAACATGTGACTAATTTTTTTCGTTTCTTCCCTAAAATGTTAGTCATTTATATTAACAAATAGGAAATTATGTAAGAGCTTATAACTATTTCTAACCTTCTATGCTAACAATTTTTACCATGCTCCTTTTAAAGCTTAATAAAACACTGACCATACTTTTAAGTAAAGATAATTTGTGTTGCTTACATTTTACTAGTGTTTTCTCCCTTTTCTACTTGTAAATGGAGTTTAAAAAATAAAATTGGTTTTCCCTAGCTACCCAATGTCTCTAGACCTCACGATCTCCACCAAACCACTGCCTTCAGTGAGTACAGGAGACTCAGACTCACTGTACCACTGCCTGAACAAAAACTGTTTTCTAGAAAGTAAACTTATGAAAAGAGAATGTATGTCCAAGTATTTGAAGAATTATAGCTATGTTTGCATTCTCTAAGCTACGTCTGTCTTCTACTAGCAAGAATAATCTCAGTGCCCATACCGAGAAAATATAGCTTTATCTTTTTAGGATGGTATCACTATATTGTCTGTTGTCTTTGTTGCATTTCCTGTTTTACCTTCCTGCTCAAAGACTTACACACTGAGGACTGACTTCACAGGAAATGTATTCATATGTGATATTTCACTTTTTTAAAAAAGTAAAATGATTGTGCTCCAAAAACTAAACATAAAAACATATACTGAACATATTGTAGACTATTAATTATAGTTAAGAGTTTCAGCCCTTGCCCTTTTTTTTTTTTTTGAGTCTGGATGTCACCCTGTCACCCGGGCAGGAGTGCGGTGGCACCACCATGGCTCACTGCAAGCTTGACCTGTGCTCAGGCGATCCTTCATCTCAACCTCCTGAGTAGCTAGGACTACAGATGCATGTCACCATATCCAGTCAATTTTTTGTTTGTTTGTTTTAAAGATGTGGGGTACAATTCAGGGTTAGGTATACAAATGTCATTATGTAGGTATCCTTGTTGATGAGGTATGCTCCCCCCTCCCCTTGAAGTTTCCCACCACTGTCAATTTTTTTTTTTTTTATTAGATACCAAGTCTTGCTATGTTGCCTAGGCTGATCTCAAACCCTGGAACTTAAGCAATCCTCCCACCTCGGCCTCCCAAAGTGCTGGGATTACAGGCATGGACCACCTCATCTGGCTAGGCTTTACCTTGTTATTAGCCAAATACTTTCCTTAAATACATGTGTTTGAGAAGCTGCTGGATTTATTTCAATAACAACTAAAAACTACCTTAATCTGAATTTAAAAATAAGCACAATTGAGATAGAATTCAGATGAATAATTGAAATTCAAATTTCTCTTCACAGAGACTTCTCCTATCAGCTGTACTGTTAACTGAATAATTGCTAAATTTCTCTTTATCATGTAATTTTTGTCCAACTTACTAATAAAGAGAGAAAATCATAGAATGACCAAGGATAAGCAATTCTTATATAGTACATGGTGAAAATATGTTGATAAACAGCATCAGAGTGTTGGGATTATTTCTACCTACAAGGCTGACCTACAAGGCTACCATCTTGCTAGTATGAGTCACCTCCTTTTAGGGCTTAGGCTCTCATCAACATACATGTACCTTGGAATCACCTGGGGAGCTTTAAAATACACTGATGTCTAGGTTTCAGCCTCAAAAGTTTTGATATGATATTCTGGGGTAAAGTCTGGAAACTGGGATTTTTCAAATCCTCCCAGGTGATTTTAATAAGCAGCCAGGTTGAGAACCCCTGCTGTAGACCCTAGGCTGTATCTGTTCAGTGATCATCTCTGGTCCAGAAGGTAGTAGATAAGAGATGTTCTAGTGAAGGTAAAGAATATCTCCATTCTGAAGCCACCTTCCGGCAAATGTGCTGTATTTAAAAGAATGCCTACTTCCCATACTGTGTCTTGCTTTGATCTGCCTCCTTCTTTCATTCATTGAGCATTTATTATGTACCAGATGCCGTGCAATTTCAGACTCCTTACTACCCAGTTACGTTCTCACTATACCTCCAAAAACCCCTCTCTATAATACATTCTGCCTCTGAAACTCATTCCCTGCCCTGGATTTTTGCCTGTCTCACCAATAATACCATCTACATATCTAATCACATCTTAATTTTGAAAAACATTTTCATTTTAGGGAGTAAGTAATAGGAAACATCTCTTTTGAAAAAGGACTTTGTATGGACGTGCTGGTAATTAGCATTAGCTCAGCATCAAGTGTAGAAATTTGGTGACCCTACACTAAAATAAATAAATAAATAAATAAATAAATACTTAAAACAAGATCTAGAAAATTGTGGCTCCAAACTAAGTAATCAATTGTCTTTCCTTTGTAATGGGAGACAAAGATGATCCTTTGCTCTTGAACTTACTTTAGTATCAGGCTACATATTCAAAGCAAAGGAGCTAAATCTGTGTATCAGAATGTCTTCAGGGAAGTATTATGGATGATTGGGAAGTCTGACTATGTGGTGTCAAAAACCATGCCCTTAAATCAACCATCTCTATTTCACCAGTATAAGATATTGAGGCATCTAAGACTAACAAATATTACCCCAAATCAACATGTGAACCTATATTGATCTGCACTTTAATTTTTTTTAGTGAACATGACATTCTATGATAAGCTTATGAATATTTCCACCACTAAATATTAGTAATATGAATTTAAATATATTTGAAGTTAATTAAAATTATCATGGTCCTTTTGTTGTTTATAAGATTATAGCTATGTTTTTACACAATAGCTACATATCCAAGATAAGAAACTTGAAAAACTCAGAAGAATTTTTTTGCAATAATAGTTCCACCCAAGTCAACCACTATTAACATTTAGTGTGTCATTCATAGTGAGAAAGATAGAGAGATGGAGAGAGATAGACACATACACACATATATTTATCTAAAAACAAAGATTTTACATAAAACGAGTTTATACTGTATATACAAAATTTAACATTCAGGTGCTTTTAAAAAAAATTCTAAACCTTTCAGACTTCAAAGCTTCATCTATACCTGTTCCCATATTTCTAAAATGTAATAACAAGATAAACCTGGCCATCTATACAAATGCTCTGAGGGCTGAGATAACATGCAAATACAGCCTTACATATCAATGCGTGAAAGCTGGATAGACCACACAGTTCAGAAAGGGAAGTGCACTCTGCAAAACTAACTTGCACACTCACTGTCCAGTCACAGCATCTTCGGGGTCACTGCCAGGCACATCAACTCTTTTCAATAAAAATGGTAAGTAATATATTTTGTGACTCTTCTTGTTCTCCTAGCATACGTGTTAATCTTCTCTATGTAGAGCAGAGAAGTGAGGGAGAGTGCTTCATGGCAGGTCCTCCAAGCCGCTGGGGATTTTGCTTGTCCCATCAAGTGTGCCAGGAGTTAACGAAGCTGCTGAGTCTTTCTTTCGCCAGTTGAGAGACGCTGGCCTCAGGAGTTCCCTTTTCTGATTCTAGTCTTCAGAATAGAGGAAGAGCAAAGTCTTACAGAAAGAAAACTTACATTCTTTGTCTTTGCCTCTTAAGTTAGCTGAGTGTCAGAATCAGTAATGGAGTCGAGTTTCCTGTTATGAGCACTCTGGATCCCAGATGGGGACTCCAGTGGCATATGTTGGGAGACATTGCTGATAATGATTACTTTAAAAAAAAAAAAATCTAGATTCAGGGGACATGTAATTGCCATTTTGATAACACGGTAGATTTCACAAAAGGAGCTTTTTTGTTTGAAAAATGCATTTTGTTATTTTAATTGAGAGAAGCAAACAAAGCCCAAATAGTCCAAACCTTAGGGACATGTTGTGTTCCCAAAGTTAATGAGAAGTCATTATTTGGAACACACTTAAAATAGTGAAGGGGTTCCCAGTGCTAGTTTAACCTACAATGTAGCTGAACTACAGTATTAATATTTTGCTTCCATTTTCCCATGATTTCTCTGTTTAAAAAAAAAAAAATTGGCTCCTAAAAGATAGGTGGCGTTCTTATGCTCCCAGAGTTTAGAAAAGAGCCAGTTTTCTATTCCACTGGCTTTGCTTCCTACTCCCCAACCTCCAGAAGACTGGAAATTTGTTATTCCTTCCTTTATCATGGAGAGGATTACTTTCTTTTGTCAGTCCGCAGTGAGAAAACAATGACACCTCTGCTTGCCCAGTTGGGGGTGGGAGTGCATTGCAGACATTGAAGAGAGGGCAAAGGGATCCTTTGCTAATGTGTGTTGATGTGTCCATGTGTCCTCTGGAAGCTCTTTGAGTCAGAATGGGGAAAGCATAGAGGTGAGATGGTATAATCTTGCCATAGGGGAGGGAGAGAAGGAAGAGAGACGAGATCAAAGTCTCAGAGTCTTGGGAAGGGAAGTGCACAGTGGTGAAGGACACAGTAGCAAGTGACCCTGTCTGCAACCACACCTGTAGAAGGCAGTTGCCAATTCAGGAACGACCTATAAATCCCTCTGGTGTTTCCAAATTGCATCTTTAGGTCCAGGATTCTTAGGAAACAGCTTGACCTTAATTACTGGCAACCTCTTAAAAAGCAGTAACAAGGGCAGTGTTGTTTACAAAGAGCTATTGGGATTTTCTTAGGGGAAACCAAATGAAAACAGGAAAAACAAAGTTTAATTGGCTAGTATGTATTTGGTGTGATATATAAGTAATGTTTTTCTTACAGGATTACTCTTTTCTTATCATGGAAGTAACACATATTGTTCAAAAGATTTTTTAGAAATATAGATATGCAGGATCAAAAAATAACATTTTCTATAATCCTATCACCTGAAGAACAATTATTGTTAAGTACAGGTCCTTCAAAAATGTCAACATTTAAAATATGCATAATAATTTGTATTTATAATAATTTACAAATATGATTTTGTGTTCATACTTCATGAACCATTTCCTTAGCTTCTTTTTGATTTAAAATATCTTTAATAATATCTGAGTTACCATAACATATTTAATGCTTATGTAGTATTCCATAATTTGTTTTAATCAGTTCCATAGAGTTGAACATTTTGTTTTGTTTCTTTTCTTTTCTTTCTTTATGGTCAAGACTGTCACAAGCATTTTTTTTTTTTTTTTTTTGTATACACTGTTTGGTTATTTTCCATCAACAGAACTACTAGCAAAGTAGCTAGGTGAAAAAATACATACTGGGAGGACCCCTCCCCCCAAAACAATTATTTTTTGGAGGATGGACCCCTTGTAGGACAGGCTTCCTCTGCCAGGTAAGTGCTCTAGGGATCCCAAACGGCACAATCCCTGTGCTCCACTCTCCCTATTCACCAGATCTTATCCCAAGCAACTTTTTTTTCCCCTGGATGAGAAAAATCCTCAAAGGGAAATATTTTGTGAATGTGGAAGAGGTGAATCAAAAAATGGCAGAAGCAATAAAAGGCATTAAAATTGATGAGTTCAAAAACTGTTTTGAGCCCTGGAAAAAGCATCTTGATAGGTATATTGCATCAAATGAAGAGTACTTGAAGGTGACTGAAGTTTTAACATGTAAGAATAAATACAAAAATTTTTATAAATAAATTCCAGCTTTTTGGTGTTTTCCCCATACACTAAAAACTTCTATTACAAGTTATTCACTTGTTCAGCAGCATCATTTAAGCTTCTTACCACATAGTGGCATAATAAGTAAATTTCCCAGTGTGATTATGGATATGCTAGATACATACCTACCTTTGTGTATATATGCCTCTGTCTATCTTTGGATCATGTCAAGGTTATCCTTTAAAATGAAGTCTTTTCCCTTTCATTTTTTTCTCTTCAACGTTGCCACTGCCATTCCACGACAGGTGGCAGAAAGACAATAGCATATCAGAGAAAGGAAAAAAGTTCTAATTCTTGGATGACATGCATCAAAGCCTGTATTTTTGGCTTCTTAGGCCTTAGATTTGCTCCCTAGTTGTATTTTTTTCACAAGTCACTTGAATTCTGAGTTTGTTTTCTCATATGATGATGATGATGATGACGATGATAAAGATGACAGTAACTATCCCATAGGATTGTTGTGGAGAGTAAGTTTGCAATTGTAAAGTCCCCATTACAGTACAGGCACATACCAGAAGCTGAATGAATACTAGTTTCCTCTATTCAAACTCAAACCTTTTCCCAAGGAGGCATAGAAACTCCCAGTGAACACAGGAGAAGAATGACACAGGCAGTTAACATTTGTGATCCCTGACATGCACTATCTCATTAAATTCCCATAACAATCCTTACAAATAATTACTGTTATCTTCCCTATCTTCCAGCTGAATTAACTGAGACTCAAAGAGGGTAAGTAACTTTCTCACAGCCACACAGCCACTAAATACTGGGGCTGGAATTGGAGCACAACTCTGTCTGCTCTCAGAGCCTAAGTTTTTCTTAATTTTATTGCACCCCACAAAAAGTAGATACATAGGAAGACAACCTGGGAATCAAGCCTGGACTGGCCATTAGGAGTGCAGGGGGTCTTTCCACAGGCTAAAGACCATCCCTGGTAGATTTGGGAATTCATTGTCATACCTGCTTATGCTATGGTCACTACCAATTTTTCTACTTTCAGAATGTTCATTTCACTGAGATGTCGCAGAGGTCACTGGGACGGGGGACTGGAGGGGTTCCTGTCTTTGTAGTTCTTCACCTCGGGATCAGAAAGGGAGATTAAATATTTAAATACCTCCCCCTCCCTCCTCCCAAGCTCATGTGCTATGTGACACCAATTCCTGCCTCCCTGAGGGAGAACTGCTCAGGAAGGGGCCAATCCCAAACTGGGACCAAGTCATGACCCCAGTGGTTATCAGGAAATTCTTCTTCTTCTTCTTCTTCTTTTTTTTTTTTTTTTTTTTTGCCTTCTTCCTATAACTTATTGGCTGAGAAACTGTGGAACTATGTGGGAGTAAAGCACAAAAGTGCCTGTTGTTTTATGAGAACAAGCACATCAGATATTAAGACTGATGGAATTAGACATAACACTGGGCTCATCTTCCAACCAAGTAAGAAGTGCTGGGTTCCAGGCTTAATCTCCTCATTTCTCCCTGTGAGATCTTGGCCCAAGTCACTTCAGCTTTCTCTCAAGTGGCTCAGTAAAGGCATAGAGTTGGCTTAGGTGTTCCCTGATGTTCTTATTTGTAACATGATTCTAGATTTTAAAAGTAGGAAGATAGGCAATAGGATTCTACTTTATCTGCTCCTGTGGGAATTGACTTAATTAATAACCTTAGATCAGCTCACTCCACAGTCCTGAAATGGAAATAATGGAATAATACTCGTTCTTTGACAAGTGTTTTTAGGTACATTCCAACTTGTAGAATTGTTGGGAAAAAATGGAGACTCAGATGTTCTAGTAATGCACAAATTCTTTTGTATAATCATGCTTGGTGAGGAGAATGAATATGCATTTTTATGCATAAACCTTAGAAGCTCTTAAGAAATGAAGTAAAAATTATATTAGGGAGTTTTTGATTGTTTTGCTCCTTTCATCCAGCTTTCAATCTACATATGATCTCCTAACAGAAGGAATGTGCTCAAATTGTGCTATCACTCATTCATTCAGCAAAGGCTTTCTGAGCCCCTTCCCCAAGTCTGGGCTCTGCTAGTCATGAGGATGCGTGGTGAGCAACACACAGGGGGTCCTGGCTCCCCAGGGCTTACACCTAGTGCAGTGGTTCTCAAACTTTAGCATGCATCAGAATCACCTAGAGGGTCAGGGATGGGGCCTAAAATGTTGCAATTCTATTAAGGTCTCATGTGATGCTTCTGATGCTGGTCCAGGGCCCACGCTCAGAGAACCACTGTTCTCTGGCAGTGATAGATCAAAAACATCAGAGTAAACAAATAAGTAAAATAACCTGTTGATCTCAGAAGGAGATAAATAAGGAGCTGAGCTAGAAAATGGAGGAGAGACACCTTCCTGAGAGAGGTGTCTGGTCTTTGATGAGGTGACATTTAGGCTAAAGCAGTGGTTCCCAACTCTGGCTACACATGGCAATCACTGCAGCAGTTTACAAAACATGCCTGTAGCTGGGCTCGGTGGCTCAGCCTATAATCCCAGCACTTTGGGAGGCTGAGGCGAGTGGACTGCCTGAGCCCCCAGGTTCAAGACCAGCCCGGGCAACTTGGCAAGACCTCATCTCTGCAATAAATAAAAAATTAGCTGTGGTAGGGCACACCTGTAGTTCTGGCTACTTCAAAGGCTGAGGCGGTGGGATCTCCAGAGCCCAGCAGGTTGACACTGGGTGGCCATGAGTGGGCC